ACGGTAAATCATGACGTTTTCGCCGCGATGGCCGCCGCGGACGCGGCCATGGGCGTCAAAACGAAAATCGGCCCGCGTCACGCTCGGTAGACAAGGTTCGGCGGTTTATCGCCGCGTTTCGCGCAAACCCATACGCGCACTCGTGTCCGCGGTTCACGGTAACATTATCACGTCGCGTACGGTAGGGGGGAGTGGGTCGCCGTCCGCACGTCGTCTGGGCGATTTGGCGCGGCGCGAGTTTTGCGCGATCTTCGGCCGGATTTCCGAACCGTGAATCGCCCGGTGTGTTGTTATTCGCATTACCGCCGGCGTTGTTGTCACGCCGGCGGTGCGCGCCGGAGACGAGCCCGCGAATTAATTAAAAACCCGCGGCGTTACAATAACGCACGGTGCGTGTTACGTTGTTAAAATATGGCGCGCGCGCGTTCTGACTACACGGCGTTATCGTATTTTACGGCCCGCCGTTCAGTTTACGAACGGCCGCCGCCGGATTCGCGTCGAATTATGCACGCGAAACACCGAACCATTTTAAATAATTGCAAATGATAGCCCGAAACGCAATATTTAACAATAACAGTTTATCTCCATCTCGCGCGCGAAACGGCGGCGGCAGCGGCTCTTAGCGCGGCCATTTTATAATAGGCGTTTTAATAGGCGATTTTTCTCAATAATGATCCGCGGCGTAATTATTTTACCGCGAACCGGCAATTTTCTCCGAGGATTTTAACCGAATTCGATTATATGTGTGCTTTTTTTTTTTTTTTATGTGCAGGGATTATACGCAATCGTTCGACATTTATTTTAATTTTTACCCCTACTCCTTATACGTTGAAACGAGTAGCCGCTTTGGACAGAGAATATTTTTCTGGAAATGCTGCTACGCAGAACACTATAATATCAGATTTACCGTTTACGAGTTAAACTGTTATACTATTATCAGTGTAATGCGTAAATCGACAACATTTCTAGAAAAATATTCTCTGTTCGAACCTATGTCCAAATAGACGGGAGGGGTTCTAATTTGAAAATCGAATGTATTTTTTTAATTAAATTGTGAACTCGTGGGCCCCCACACGAACCCGTTAAGTGGGGCCCATTATCTTTTCGTAGAAATAAAAAAGAAAATAATAAAAATAATATTTATTTCAGGTACACGAAGTAAGAACTAAGAATTTAAAAATAGTTTTAAAATAAAGCTTATACGTTTCCGTAATGATTGAAAAAAAAAACAGAAATTAAATTTACTTAAAATCCTCCGAGAGAATTGCTGGTTCATTAAATTGAAAAAAAAAAAAAAATTATAGAATTATCATCGAGCATCCTTCTCCTCCCATTATGTTCGTCAAAATAAGAGAGTAATTTTGGTGAAATTTGGTGATGTGACTTTATGTGTCACAAAAGAGTTGAAGGATGATGAAAAGATGTAGTTCGACAGTTTTTCGAACTATGGCATTTGCATAAAAAAAAAAAATACTTAAATATACAAGTATCCATAAAAAAATGACAAAGTTTCTCGTAAATTTAAAAAAAAAAACAGACATACTTCGTACAATAGTCCAGTGTTATAGCTGACAAGTTGGAAAAGTAGAGGGGGAATTTAATGTATGCATTCTGTACGCAACGATTAATCTTTGCTAGTGAAAATATATTCTGAGCGGAGTTCGGTTATACATGTTTTAAAAGGCCATGATATTTACGATTTAAGGATTTCGTAAATTTTCCCGATTTTTCTTATTTATTATGAAAAAAAGTTGAAACAAAAAATGACCTAAATTTGATGATTCCCAGTCAGATTTCCTTTCAGAAAAAGTGTTACGCTTGAAATCGGAGCAATGTTTCTGGTGGAAAAGTTTTTCATTGAAAAAAATATATATGTCATTGTAAAACCAATGCATTCGCTCAGAATCTAAAACGTTTTCGACTCAAAACCGTTCAATCCGGTTTCTAAACAAAGACCGCCCAGGTATAGATTGGGCATCGACAAAAGGCAAACGCGAAGTTGACAATAATATTTATTAATATTTTAACCGATTTCAGCATTTGACGGCTGTGCCGCGGTGTACAAAACGTATCTGTAAAGCGTCAAAACCATACCGCACGTCAACGGACGGACACGACATTATTATATTAGTGTTATTGTATTTTGTGACTGCGTACGATTTCCATTCATACAATACGATATAAAATGATGTCGCGTGACGATATTGGTATAGATACGAATTCGGTGTAGTCGACGTTTTAAAATGCAATATAATATTGTTGTCAACGTTCGGTAAACGCGTTTTAGACCGCGATCGGTGAGTTTCGCATTATAGCGAAACATACCTGCAGAGACGACTTAGATTTCGGGAAGCACTCCTGCCCTCCTCCGAAGGGGGCATGGGCGGCTGGCGGACACGTTGTAAATTTCGGAGACCATTTTGATACGCGGAATTTCGAGTGATAAAAAACTATATAATAATAATAATAACGGAACTGTTATTGTGGGTATCGTTTTATGGCGAAAAACGTGCGTCGATAAACACCAGGACACGCAAAAGTATCGTGGTTTGAAATATATCACGACGTTTCTGTGCTCGTAATGCGTTTATGTACGCGAAGAACGCATTGGATTCAACATAATTTGTTTTTTTAGGTTCTGAGTGGGGCGAGAGACGTATTGGTTTTACAATGATGTTGAAAGAAATTCGGGACGGTAAGGCGTTTTTTTTTTTTGTTTTTTTTTTCTTATCCGCGGCGTAAAATACCTAAATACGTCGCCGGTCCTGGCAAAAAGACAGGTATTTCAGTGTATTTCAACTTGTCCATAACGGACTCTTTCTGTACAACGGTTGGTAATATTTCTCCCCGTTGACACGATAACGGTCAACGATTTTACAGTAAAATCCCGAGAAAACCAACGAATTATACATCCGACCGATTGCTTTTATATCGCTTGGAAACGATAAAGTTTATTGCGCGGTCGATACGGATAAAATATACTCTATGTCCTATTATCCTATTTTAACGGAAACCGTCATTCCGCTCTGCTCGTTCAGAGCAGTTTGTTTTTCCTTTTTTTTTTTTTATGTTTTGCCACGGCACCTCCCGCACTGCGGAAATCGCCCGATTCAAAGCAAAACGTGAACATCGTTTGGCGCAAAGATACCGCGTAGCGGCTCGTCTATGCGTTAGCTCGTCATGTAAATCCGGAAGTGGTGAGTAACAGCATAAACCGATAATCGCATGTCGACCAATATCGAGCATGTCTGAGTATCGAAAAAAAAAACCGATACAGGACCCGCGATATGTTTCGAAACGATTTAATTTTTTTTTTTTGAAAGAACATTTATTTTCAATAAACGTCTAATTTCATGAATAATACTACAATATGAAAAAACCATTTCAAATTTCAAATGTTGTTCAGTAGAGAGCGTCACCGTGCAATCAAATTTATTATAAGCGCATTTGTTTCAATAATGCATTACAATATAGACCATTCTCCTTCCTAAAAAACTTAAAAGATGGAAATCATAAATTTCAACTAATGCTCAATCTATTTAAGGCGTTTTCATTATAGGTTGCCATTTGAAAATCAAAATAAGGTATTTTTGCCTCCCCTCAAAAATAAAGGTGACAAAAAAAAAAAATGATAATACAACATTTTAGAACCTGCATTTGTTATTTTGAAAAAATTCCAAAACAGTCAATACTTTTCGAAATAACGTGTGTTTAACGACAAAATAATCACCCGGTATATGTTAATCTCGATGTCGGCTTACAGTTTTTGATTTCAAATATCGGATCGGTTACCGGCCGTATACATAGGTAGCGGGGATATTCGAACTACGCGCGGATATCGGAAAGAACTCGCATCGGCTCACCACCATAGCAAACATTTTTGCAAACGGTTTGTGGACGGGGTTTTCGCTGTATGCGTAGGCAAATTAAATGCCAATAACACGTCGCGACTGTGCGTCGCGCGCGATACGGTCCTATACACGTTACATTATACAGTATTATACCGTAATTATTATAGCCGCGTACGGTTGTCAATCATGACGGGCCGGTTTACATTTCGACCGGATCGATATCGCCCGGCCGTGTTTAAAATATACACCGCGGCAAAGGTGAAATCGCGCAGATATGACTTTTACGCGTGAAAATGGCGTTTAAATCAAACATGCCTGCGCGGCTGTATCGGGTTCGTCCGGCTTTGAAACGTCACGGGTACCGTGCAATGTATTAATATCGGTAATATACCGGGCAATTCATAATAACACGGTCGTTATGTATAATTAATAACGGCGCGGCAATAAAATATAGAGGTATTGTCGTTTTCAATATTTGTTGGTTTCGATACAATATTATATCGTACCTACGCGGGCATTCAGCGTACATGCATTTATGTTATCAATATGGACGTTGTAATATTCGATTGAAATATTCAATCAGAATTATTCCGGTTTAATAACGACAGTTTTTCGGTAGTTCAACACATCGATTTGCCCGTCTATGTACCGAGCGCAGAAGGGCATTTCGTCAGCGCCTCTCGCTTTTTAATTTTTCGTCTGTGCCGATTTGTGACGGGGTTTCGTCGTTTGTATAGCAAACCGTTAGCGATTCACAGCGGAGTTTTTTGTTTTTCTGTTTGGCGGCGCTGTGGAAAGCTATAGCGCCCCCGCTTTTGAATTCTCAAACGCAAACCGTGATTACACTAATGTCGGGCTTTACTAGACGCGGTTAAATTTACAAAGTATCCCGTCGTTTTTCGAACTCTTTGTATAGGCGTTTGACATTTTCGATTTTTTTTTATGCGGAAAAAATTGTGAAGTTTAATAACGAATATATATATATATAAGTATATTTTTTTTTTATATGAGCATTTAGTATTGAGCATTTAGCGGTTTTAACCGAACCTCGCTCAGAATCGTATTTCGTCCGCAACGGTTTGTCGCCGCATGCGGATATGAATTCAATAACTTTACGTGGATATTCAATCCGCTTGACCTACGACACACATGCGTATCGGCATGCGTAACAGCCGTTTTGTACAGCCGTGTTTCCGGTCAATCGGCAACGGCCGTTCCGGAAATCCTGGATTCCGTGACAACCTGTGCGACAGGAAAATTCGCCGGGCGCGTGTAAGCGCACGAGTTTCAAACGGCGCGTCTTTACGGCGCGCCGTGTTCCGCTGGAGTAGTGCGGCATCGACAGTAACGCGTAATATAACGGGCGTGTTGAGACCGCGACGTTCAGTCGCGTTGTTGTGCGACCGGGTGGCCGGAAAGCGATCGTCGATTATCGGACGTGAACGAAAGAGAAAAACAACCGTCTCGTCTCGTAATCGTTCGTGTCCGCTGTCCGCCGTCGTCGGCGCGGGGCACACGGGGGGACACGTTGCCGTTATGTTTTCGCGCGGCCGACGAGACGGACGGACAAGACAACGAGACGGGTCACTCCGGACCGCGAATGTGTGTAACGCGCGCGAGCGTTCCGCGGGACGCGTGTCGGAAAGTCCACAAACACGGCACGAGCGCCAGACGTGTACAAATTACGTATCATTTGCGCCGGGATATGCGGGACGTGTTCGCCGGTATAGTGTTACGCCCGATATAGTATATCATGACAGAAGCGCCGAAGATGCGGAAAGACGGACGTGCCGTGCACTACGGGTGGGCCGCTGTTGTACGTGAGAAGTCGGGAGAGTAGAGGGGAAATTCGATTTGCATCTGTACGCAATACGATTGACCATTGTTAATTTGAGCCGTTGACGACTGTGAGAGGAATTCCTGTGAATACCGTTGCTTTGTCAACAATAACGTATATGTCATATTATGGTAAAATAAATAATTGCATATTATGCATTATATATTCTCTTCGATAATATTTGTTTAATATTGTACCTATTTTCCCGTATTTCCTACGGGTTTCTCGTGTTTTTTTCCCGTTTATTATGAAAACAGTTGGCGAAATTTAAAAAATACCCACTCCGGTCAGATTTCCTTTCAGAAAAATGGTTATAATTGAAAATCCGAGTAAAATTGCTGGTGGAAAAGTTGTGCAAATGTAAAAAAAAAAAAATTAAAACATCGTTGTAAATCCAATACGTCCTCCTTCCCCGTTCAGAATCTAAAATTGACTACAGCCTGAAAACTCCAAATGAAAAACTATTCTTGAGAATGCACAACAACAAACCCACTTTATTTAAAGGATAATGATAAATATTATAAATCGATAAATCAATATAATAGAATATACGAACAAATAGTTTAAGCGCTATAATTTCCGAACCATGACCATTATATTATTATGTATAAGACGAGTCGCATTACCTATACTAATATTATAACAGAACGGGAGAACGCGAAAAACTGGAGAATCGTATCCATAAGTACAAACGAGATACGTATACATTACGCCTTTGATGGTTAGACACGTATAATATAACACATATCTATTTTCTAAGACGTTACAGCATTAAAAAATAATTGTCCAGTGGAAAATCTTCGGCAAACGTATAATATAACACATATCTATTTTCTTAGACGTTACAGCATTAAAAAATAATTGTCCAGTGGAAAATCTTCGGCACACGTATAATAGTTATTTCGTATTATATCGTATTATACCGGAAATCCTCCACTCGGCTTTTTAATTTTATCGTTTCCACGCGCGAACCTAATATTATCACGTAATACTGTGATAATAATTGTGTAGTGTCTGTTGTGTAGACGCGACTGTATGAGTGTTCGTTAGCAAATCGCGAGCAAAGGCGCGCAATAAGTATGTATACTTAAAACCAAAACCCCGTAAGTAAACTGTACATACTATATTGTCTATTATTTATATATTTTACTTTTCTTTTTTAATAACGTTTAAATTTACGATTTCAGTCTCAAACTTTATGAATTAATTAGATATATTTATTTGTTTTGTTTCGGAACGAAAAAAAAAAATGAAGTTTATTTGACGTTTTTATGTACCGACTGTTATAGTATTGTTATATATTGAAAGTCGGATATTCTTACGAGGAAAAAAATAAAAATAATTTTGTTCAATAAAAATATTTCGAATAAAAATCGTTTACCTACATTGATATTAATCTGCGCGCAATATGTTTAATTAATAATGTTTTAAAAACAAATAGCTGCGGGCATATCCGTTTAAAGGTTGTAGGCCACTAATTTAATCGGCTAATCGGTAAATATTTCTAAAAATTTGATTTGATGTCAAACTAAGCGTGTATAGGTAATCCGTTTTTAAAGCCACGATTAGAATAAAGATATATTAAATAAAGATTATAAAGATAATCAAATACTATAACGGAATAGCGAAAGAGAATGCTCAAGTGTGGTCCGTTGTTACTGTAACATTATTTGCGAGTCGTCGTGTGGACATCTACGGCGGCTAAACAATTTGGTTCGAAAACTGGGCTCACCGTGCGCTTTAGCGACGAGTGACTGACGGATCAAGAGTGAGCGAAACACTTTGACAAATGCTCGTGCAACAACCTGATACACCAGAAAGCAGACGAACACGAGCCCGGGCACCAACACGAATACCGAAATTCACTGTAGTGTATCCGCGGCTTTAGATCTTACAGTGCACGGTATTAACCACGGTTAAGTGTCTGGTTAGTCACAGTATGTTTGTAGTTTAGTGAAGTAGCTAGTAATTTAGCAGATAAACGTGTATGAACAAATCGATTTAGTCGAGTAGTTTAGTAAAGTCATTTAGTCATTTAGTAATTTAATGAATCTATTTGTTTCTATTTTACTAGTCGAGAGTAGCAACCACTTTTCTGACTAATAACTAAATAGGCGGTCTGAACGCGTTATTTTAGTGTAGTGTATTAGTTGTCCTTGTCAGTGTCAAGATGTCAGTGTCGTCGGAGTGAAGACGCAATACGTTTAAATTTGTTTATGAATACATAAAACATGCGCCTTTATAGAATATAAAATGCCTTATAAGTAAAACAGTTTACAGACATTCTCAGCTTAGTGAAGTATTTTTTGAGGTCTTCAAATTCCAGTTCTTTCAGAAGACCATTTGTAGCTTCCAATGTATCCCTTCTATCGATCCATTTTCTAAACCATATTCGCTTTAAATATTTAAGGTCTTCTTTTACCTTTTCTAAAATAGTCGTTGCAATAAATCCTATTGCTCTATTTAATGTTTTTTTTTTTTTTTTGTAGACTATTTATATTATATGTGACGTATAATGTATATTTTTAAGAACTAGGCTTTAGTTAACAATAATATATAATAACAATTATTTTTAAAACATCAGGGATCGAAAAATAAGAAAATCGGTTGACAATATATATATATATGGTACAGGGGCGTTTTCGAGTCAATTCCATGAGGGAGAGGCGCGAATAATTCGTACTCTTGAATATCACCGCTTTGGTCAACAAAAAATTAAAACCTTTGTGTCTGATGTCATTTCGACTTATTACAATTCGTTTTGCTTGTAAAATTATGATAGCGTTTTGTTCAAATTTAAATTTTCTTTTTTTAAATCAGAATATCAGGAATTTAGCCGTATAGGGGGTCTCCCTGCTACGTCCTAGGTATTTATAGTGTTTATATATATATAATTGTATGAGCTATATCGCCCCCTTCTCCAAAACGAACACTCAAACGCGCCACTGATAATGGTACAACAACAGTGTTGGCTCTCTTTTTTTTTTTTTTTTTGTTTGTAATTTCCATCAATTGATTTATTATAAGATTCGCGAAATTAAATTATTCGCGGCCTCGTTGAACTGAGCTAATGTATGCGCGACGTGTGTGTGTGTGTGTGTGTGTGTGTGTGTGTGTGTGTTCGGTATAGCTGAAATGTTATTGTAGCCCCGGACACGTATATATTTTGTTAGTGGACGCTTACAGCCCTTCTGCGCCGAACTGCAGTAAAAGGGTTGCGACAGAAGGGTTCAAAAGTCCCTCTTACTGTGCATATTATATGTGTGTATGTATTATTAAACTTATTGTTTACAGTCGCCGGTTTGATTTAATGGATTTTTACACCGTACACTATATAGGTATACGGAGATGAACACAATACGTAAGTGCAACGACTAATGTTACTAATTATTATCATGAACACTGCAGCCAATTCATTAAAGTTTAATCTCGTTATTTACGATTATTATTGTATACGGTATTATTTATTATTTCGATCGTGTACAATAATAATAATAATAATAATAATAATAATAATAATAATAATATGACGCGAAGCATGCACGCGCGAAACATAAAAGTCGTATAAATTATAAACAAACAAATATTATAATGTTATTTACGCGGGCAGCGCAGAAACGTATCGTCAATCACGCCTGTATACGTGTATGTGTGTATATATGTTTCTAATAAATAATCAATAAACTATATTATAATATATTATTATATTGAATTATTACGAAATCGCCCCGTTTATAATTATCGTTATTAAATTATTGGCAAGCGAATATCGTATTATTGTCATTCGTATTCGCGTTGCGCAACAATATTAGTATTTTACATTGACCCCCACCCCCCCCCGGCGCGTTTGAACGATGAACGCGGAACGTTTCAAGCCCGTTCTTGCCAACGCCAACGTTGGTTTTTAAACGGGGTGCGTAAGATAATCGACCAATCGCGGTCGGTCATCGGCCATAAGCTCAGTTTAGAAATCAAATAAACGCATTTTTTGTTTTTGACGTATGTGTGAAAACGGCCCTCGGTCGTGGATAAACATAAATCGGAACGAGGGTCGTTTCTCTGAAGTTCGGGGGTTTTGAAAATGCACGTTTTGAGTGTCAATTCAAAACGCGAACCCCCGACGGTCACGCGCGCCGTATTAATTGTTATTTTTTCCGAGCTGCGAATTTAGCCGATAACATTTTTTTTTTCTATACCCGAAATTACCTGAGTCACCTGGGTCATTTCTCAAGTCCATTAGAAAAGTACAATTTTTCAATTATATGATAAGTCGAAAAAAAAAACAATAGTTCTTATTAAACTTTAGATATTATGGTTGTTTTTGCAATAATTTTTGATAAAAAAAAAATATTTTTTTTCCAGCCAAAGTTGCTTTGAAAAAAAATATGATTACATTGTACGATATAGCGTGTTGAAAATAAGTGTCTCCTTTTAAGAACAAGACGTAAACATTTCACTGCTCGCTGTACAGTATTTTAATTTACATTTTTCTCGAACACAGCACTTACCTACGACTCGTATAATTACATTTTTTTTTTCAAGCGTCGGACTTAAAATACGGTTCCCCTGCGTCCCAGAACGAATTAACGATATTTTTAGTTTTGTCAAAAACTTTATTATATAATACAATCTCCGCAGCAGCAGCAGTCATAACAATATAATAATTAATAATATTCGAGCGAAAACATTTTGTTTTAATTAAACGCATTTTTAATTTCATTATAATTATATTGTATACACTTGTTTTTTATGTGCATGTACATAGACGTCAACAAATTTCGTACTTATACTATTGTGATACTTGACTCCGTGCAAGTTGTTTGGAGGTATACGACATAAAGTTAATTGTTACGGACGAGAGACAAACTTGCTAACGGCCTGATGTTAAAATGATGCGTGGATGTAAGTTCGTCAAAGTGCAGCATTTCGGCCGCGGAGAGCGGGCGAACGATCGCCCCTGAGGCCCACAAGATTATCGGGCCTGTAC